GAATAGTTTCCATGACGGCTATTTTAGACTCTCGATTGGTTGAAAATTACCCAAGTGAAGAAAAATCTGCGTAATATATGTCCGCTTCTGCTAATCACCCTCAACAACGATGGAAGATCAGGAGTCTATATTTACCTCTTGCTAGAATGACGAGAGTGACTAACTGCTTATTAGTTTCTGTCCCGGCCAAAATGGAGCACTTGTGACGAACCTTCCTTAAAAGGTAATGCACGGGAGAGGCTTATTAGACTAAACTTGATGCAAAGCCATTTGGACGAGTTAAATTATACGTAGTTCCAGAGGTTGAATAAGTTCTTTTTTAGAAGTAAATTTGATCAACAGCTATGCGAGCTTAAAAAATGTAAAACAATCGAATTAAACTCTAAGTAAGAGTTACATCGATCGTATGTAAGATACTTTAGTTCATATCGTCCCAAAATCACACGCATGTTTTTAAGAAGCCTGTTTGGAAGCCGGGCTGTCTTATTTTTTTACACCGTATCTATTTGCTGGGCCGAAAATAATTTAATTGTTACTGTTGCTGGACACAGAATTGTACCCCATGTGACCAGATGTTGCGATATTTTAGCCACATTGAGATGGTTGTCTCGATTTAACAAACCAAACCACGAAACTCTCAAGTGTAGTGAATCTACATGATAACCTGACTTTGGAAGCCGCTGTCATTAACGCAGACAAATGCAGCTAGACTGGCGATCAACATTACAGACATGCCTAAACTACTTATGAAGATTCTTATCAAGTTTTCTTACTGACTAATTGATAAACATGATTTTCAGAAGCTGGCCAAAGGCGTTCTTTCTAACATACCACATATTGAAATGTTATTTGTTGTCAAGATTAAATCGAATCATACCCTGATGAACCGTAAATAATATTTTCTTAAAAAAAATAAACATTGATGTACAAAAGAACATTGAATCACTAAGGGAGAGAATTCGCATTGCCGATAACAGAGACTATGTGCATGATTCTCAAAACCGACCTATCTCTTGAGATCAATGTAACTAACCGACCTACCCACCTTTAAGAAATGGTTTCTCGTCTTTGAAAACAGTGAAATAACAAGACAAGCACTGGTGTCGCCAAATGCAGAATTCAAATCAACCAGACTTTTCTGATTCACAATGATTTAGGGTTGTATTTGCCATTTTCTTAATTCTCGCGATTCCAGAAGACATTAGGATTCCTTCCTTGAAAAGCCTCAGGAACAAATCCGGCTTCCGTTACACGAATGAGCTCCAAATTTCATTTGAAGCATTCCCTGAAGTCTTTCTTTGAATGGTTTCCTATCGATCAAAATAGTACCTAACGTTTTTCTTCTTGTCCTTTTCTCGTATTTGCTTGAAAACGAGTAAAAATAAGGTCAAAATACACAATTGACATTACCATATCAAACCGCTGTAATATCTGATATTAATAAGACATATATCGTCACTTTAAAGCCTAGCACACTATTCTTAATTAAAATTAGTGCTATCCCTTCAGTATAAATACGTCTATGCCGTCAGAAGTACAAATAAATGGAATCACTCTCACTAATTCAATAGCGCTTCAACGTCCCGATAATTTATTGAATGAGTAAGGGAAATTTCAAAGTACGTTTACCTAAGAAATTAGAAATCTGTGTAGATATGACAACAAATAACTTACCTTCAAGATATATGACAATTAGTTTCTCTCTTTGCGCTCATATTAGGAACCATTTAGTAATGGTGGCTGTAAACGAATGTACTTTGTCTAAAAGTACCACGAAATAGCTGTCATTGTCACTATAATTTTGAAAGCGTGGATTCGTTAAATATGACTACTTTATTTGAAGGACTATCTCAGTTTTAGCTAAACCAGCTAAGCCGGCATATATCTGAAGTCGTCTTCAAACATCTTATTTCTTAAAAAAATATTCGCAAAATAGCTGCATCCCTTTTTATATTTTTTTGGTAAAATGTAACAAATTTGGAGCAACATGTCACACAAATTAAATAATATATTAATGAGTACTCCTAATTGCTTTGTGGAAACGCCACTAAAATGCCTAAATATCGAGATTGGAGAAAAAATTGCTGTGCACTTTTGGGCAGTGTTTTGTGCGAGCTAAACGGATATCGAACGCTAGGAAAATGACTCATAGACATACCTTCTCGTTAGTTTAGGTCGTTTCAAATGACTTTGCAAAATGCCAGACCTAGACCCATCGTTTCAAGAGACAAGTAAATACTCCGAAACGGGAACGCCCGTCTGAAAAACCCTCATCCGCACTTGACCTTGACGGGTGGAGCTTAACTATTAATCAGCAAAAAGTGACGCAAATTGAAGATGCACACAGTGTAACACACAAACACCTCAACCTCAAAGTGAGTTGGTTCGCAACATTCAAACAGATTCCCCCTCAAGAACTTTAGCATTAAGTACAGTCACACAAAATGGTGCTCGAAATGTTTGAGTTAAAGCAAAAAATGGCCAGGATGGTGGACGTATCATTTGCTTTTGCTTAAAATGACACCTGCCTGTTAACATTTAGCATATGCATTTCAGATCTGTAGTGCATCAGGATGTATCCTCGTCGGAAGTCGAATTACGATGCAAGTCTGATGATAGTATTTAGAAATTCACTAACTGATGTTAGTTGTGCAATTGTAAATGGAACCTTAATTTAATGAGTCAAATGGGGGTCAATCACCAAAAGCTGTGCTACTTTGTTAGGAATTTTTAATCGCTAACATAGACATGCTGCCAGGGATGGTCAGAAACACGTCATATTGATAAAATACCCAAAGGAGAAATCTTAAGTTAGTAACCAAAGTTTTCTATTCCTCACTCCCTAGAAAGTAATTATCTATTAATGTAACTTAAAATGTACTTTTACGGGACAAGTAAGTGGTTGCAACTAGCAAAACAACAGCATGAATTATTACGAAAATCACTCGCACTGGTCCATAAAGCCATTAGCAGAAGGTCCAAATAAAGGAATACCTCGCATTGAACAGGACTAAATGTTGAAACACAGGTCAATGGCTACAAATAACATTTCCTTTACCAAGAGAGCGAAATAAATACACGATGACCCTGCTCGTGCAGCATAATCGAAAAGTACATCTATTTGCACAGTACAGTGGTTAATCACGTAAATTTACGCATTGCACCACCGTTCCTGAGTGACCTGATTGTGTTAATTCACAATTCTCCTCGGAAGACACTCTGACCACAGTAACCTCGAGCATTTTGGATCAAACATACTTACACAGTGTTGACATCGACTCCTTACTATTCAAGCCTACAACCATAACAACTCAAAAACTAGCAAAATCAATCGTCCATGGCGATTGTGCCTTTCTTAGGATACCTTAGCATCGGATAGGCGTCTCCACATTAGCCTCAAAGCCAAGACAAGTGACGGAGTTGGATTTCGACAAATCTCTTAACTTTTGTCCTAGTGTACCGCTTTTAATCCGTGCATGCTGGCTGCATTTGCCGCTGATTCCTTTCGGGCTCCTAAGACAGTTTGATCAAGGTAAGAAACGTTAGCGCTAATGCGTGGTGGCACAACCAGACAGGTGATCAAAAACACCTCTGCCACTTGTCCTGTTTTAGCACATTGACGATAGAAGTGAATTTGACACCATTAGCGTATTATGTCCTCGAAGTTAATATCTTTGTTGTTTTATTTTAAATATTCGGCTGGGTTATTTCAGAGAGATGACTATGATAACTTCATTCGTACATGCCAACCATTCCTTCTGGACGCCTGCTGGCTTGTATGGCTCTGAGACCGTCCAAACTCCTTGTTGCCATATGGGCAATGGCGTTAGCTAGCTCTTGTATCTGGAGTGTTTGTCAGGCTTCAAATAATGTCTGGGGAATTAGTTAATTCATAAAAAGCATTTAATTAAGCATGCTCACAACTGAGGACTCAATAGTGACACCGTTTCGTGCTGGAATTCGCTTAACCATCTCTACAATAGCACTTTAGTAAATAAAATTTAAACAGAATAGTTTATGCGTTTTTAAAAATCAGTGAAATTCCAGCCTTACTAATACTATTTTGCCCCTAATATTACAACAACTGAGATTTATGGTTCAGACATACTCTTAATTCACAGCCATGTGGGTACAAAAAGTCCACAGACAAGGAATTGACATCGGTGTCACAAAAGCCTGGTCAGACTCACACATTGCAGCAAAAATTTCAAGAAATAGGTCACTTCCTTGAGAAATTTTGCCAACAGATTATGTGTGTTAACACTTGTAACCTTTACAGGAACACAGTTTCTTTTAATCCGGCACATTTATTTTACTAAACCTTCCACTGCAACATAATCCAATTTTTCTTATCTAAACAAACATCTAAAAATCTACAATACTGGGGTAAATGATTGACTTTCAGAAACAACTAAGTCAGAGTGGATTCTTTCTAAGGCAGTGGATCAGTATGTGGGTGGCGTTTGTGAGACGCATATATCTGCACTGGTTTCAAGTGAATTCTGTACACAGTAGCTATTCGGCTGGACGCGAGCATGATGCTGTAAAAGTCTAGGAACAGCTAAATTCCATTGCCGAGGGCTATCTATCTTAAGTAAGACCTTCATTGTTCTTAATTAGCAAAACTAAAACATAATCCTATACTTCTATGCACTCGCGATGTGCAGTAAATATACGCTCAAATTAAAGTTTGAGATACGTACAGAAGCACTAACTTGATGCGACTAAGGAAAGAGAACAGGCTCTTCACGTGCACGAAGATCTAATGTGAAACATCTCAGAGCAGTGTCGCGTAAACGTTACTGATGTAAATCCGCTTAAAACGCTCTGGAAGCTAAAGTAGATAAAAACCTGAATTTGACATTAAGCTACCCCTTTAAACATTACCATGATGGAACGGTGGAAAAGAACACCCATCAGCAGCACCAACTGTATACTCATAAAAATAAATACCGAAACATAGAATAAAGTTTGAAAATGAAAAAAAATTGTAGGAAGACTCATTTTAAATGCATGCCCTTTGAACTACTGGGATGGTGTCGCAGCAGTTCCTTGACTCGATCCCGCTTGGCGGTCTCTGGAAGGAGACACATCTCTGACCACTGAGCGAAGTTTGAAGCTGCTTGCTTGGGTATTGTCCGCAAGGAAGGCATAGCCTGAGCCACAAGTCGAAAGAGAGGCAAACATATGCCTTTGAAGAAGTTTATCTAAATTCAGTAAGAAGACAAGGTCAGTAAGAGAGAAGTGAAGAGGATTATCAGCTCCCTAACCTTCTGCTTAATTGGCATTCAGAACCAATCGAACCCACCTCAGTGACAGATGACCAAATGACTATGTCCACCCCGTCCTAACGTCTTTTAAACGCATTATATTCATTTGAACAAAAATGGAGTTGCGTGGTGGTAACCACTGCCATTTCATTACCGTTAACATTGCAAGTAATTATTAAAAAAGAGAAAATACAACTACAGCACTATTGTTTGTCGCGAAATGCACGATTTAATCGACCACGGGTAGCCTTGTAACCAATTGGGGCACACCAAGCATGTAAAGGCTTAATAGGTTTTTCTATTGACAACTTTAAAATGGGCCATAATTCGTACAAGAGCCCAAGTAATACAATGTGTCAAATGCTTTTTATGTGCCTTCTATTGTGTTTAGAGATTAGGTTACCTAGCCTTGTTACTCCCTAACCTAAGAAAGCGGACAGAGCTCATGGGACATTAAACGCAAGAAATGCTAATGTGGCGTATTGTCACCGTTATAAGGCCCCTAGATTACCACACCGAGTCCACGCGTTAGCGCCTACAGCTGTCTCCGCCCCCCTTGACTCAGTCGTATTCACATGCCTGCTAGCCCCACACGACGTTAGTCTAGCAACTCACAAAGCGGTTGCCTCTAGTCTTCGTGTGTTGTTTTGGATTTCTCTTGTTGTAACTTGCTACAGCGAGCGCTTACCAATGCTCGCTCGAAGAAAGGAGGAATTTAGAAAGTGGTTTATTAAAAGGCCACATCAACGAAGCAAACAGACGTTATATAGGATTGTCTAATTAAGAAGCTTGAAAAAAAAAGGATTTGCAGATATGGCCATATTCAGTGAGGTAAAAAAGTGTCTAGAAGGCTTCCTGATAGTGTTCTTGGGATGAAACTGGGGTTATGGATTGAAACTAACAGACTTTGCTTTAAAAGTCTTGTCTCCTGATAAACGCTATTCTCTGTAGCCTTCAAATGCTCGTCATGCAATGGCTTCTCTATAGTCTGCTATTTCCAAACGAGTAATCGATGGGGCGGTAAAAACCACCCTTATTTAATTTATGATACATTAGGAGAGGTTTGCTCTGAAATCATTAGTTTATATGAATCTCGTCGCCAGAGCTTTCATGGGAAAATCTAATATTCGAACCAGGATGCAGTGCAACGCTGGTCATCCGTTATGGTTGTACTTAGAGGATTGTGCGTTCGGTCATTTGGACGCGTGGGAGGACCACGTGCCGATGTTGGGCAAAAACAACCACGGCACCCACTAAAGTACAGTTAATCTCTGCAAGGTATACAATAGGGTTGACTAGACGTGCTAATTACCTTAGTGACCAAGAAGCACTTTCCTTTCATAGATTGTGTTTGGAGTATTTTAGAAATAACCAGAACTGTGAAAAGACGTGATATTAGAATTGGCTCTAGTTTAATTGTGAGGTTTATCAAGAGCAATTCGATTCCTTAATTTCGAAGCCTATCAACTTCAGGATGGGAACCTAGGTTTTCAAAATAAGCAAGTCTTCGAGATTACGAAACAAAATTTTCGGGTATAGTCAAGGTGAAGCACCATTTGAGCAATGTTTGACATGAAGGAAACAAACCATTAAGTTAAAAAAATAATGAAAAGGCACGTTAACGACAGTGTAAAACCTTGTGACCAAATAAAAGGAAATCCAGGAGGTAAAACCTAGTCTCTCTGTGAATGTGCTCTGGAATATTCTCATAAAAGGTAGCATTTGTTGGCGGTCATTATTCAACCAGATGGCGATCATAAATGATCTTAAGCTAAAATGGACAGTAATATTCTACTAGTAATGCCAAACCCTGTATACTAATCTCAGCAAATCGATTTGATTAGGATACCCTTAGCTTAGAGAATCATTGTAAAACACCACGTCACACATTTTTGATAACAGGAACGAAAAGTAGTTTAGAGTAAATTGCAGGAGGAAAACTGTAATATATGGATAAAGGTTTAATATGACTTCAAAATTGTATCCAAAACCACTCACTGTAAACACTGAAAGCCAGACTCACATGCCATTGTATAATTTAGATATAGATTATCTCCTTAGTTGAAAAATAGGCTCCAAGTTATAGGTACGAAAAAGAAGAAGTTTCACTCCTTTTAGTCAACCATATTAATGAAACAGAGAGGTATATGATGAACATTGGCTCGAAGCCAGCCTCCGACTTTTTTTACAAATCGAAGCCTCTTTACAGTGGACAAGCAATCCCTCGTTATTCCTGAATAACAAACTAACTTGTGTGCAAAACATAACCTCCCATGAAATTCTACATAAAGAGTCTAAAACTAGTTCCCTTAATTTTTTAAGGGATGGCATAATCAATAATTCATACTGGGATATGTTTCGAACCTGACTCAGTCTTACGCAGGCATGGTTGCGAGCGGTTAGGGCCTGTTGTCAGTAGAACTCTTACAACGCTGATGTATTTAATTTTGTGGTTGGGAACTTGCTTAGAGGACAACCTCTTAAATGTCATGTCAGCTCTTAGTTCAATTCCGACTTTAAAACAACTAATTTTCTTACCCAACAATTGAAACGTATAACTCAACAGAATTACGAATTTATTTATTTTATATAGAGGTCGTGAACGCAACACCTAATATTTATAACAGCATTACAAAGCACGAATCACTGGTGGATCAACGTTTAAAATTCCTCAGCTGGTTTAAACTATCGATCTAAGAAAACAAGATTATAGCACAAAAAGGTGTCTTTACGAACAATGATGTGGCTACTCCATATTGGACCCAACAACGATTTAAAATCGTCGAAAACCGGCGAAAATGTTTTTGCTCGTTATCGAAACATGGTTCTTGAGGTTACTCATGGAAAGCTCCATTGTCGTGTGATTCAACTTCCTGTAAAGTAATTTTTTTCTGTTTTGAAACAAGGATGACTAAATTGACGTTTGTGTTTACTAAATTATTGGCTTAAGCAGTTGAATCATCTAAGAGTCAAGATACCTGGATTTCTGGAAGTTGGTGATACAGGTCGCGATTCATCACATCAATCGGAATCGACCCATTCTTTTTTTCTTCATCACCCTTAAGCAAAAAGAAAATTTTTTTACAATTAAAGAATTCTAAGAGTGCAAAATAATTCGGCGGAGTTCAAACTCCAAGAATAGCATAGGCATTCAAGATTTCAAAACCTGTAATTTTTAGCAATAGCATGAGTTTTATTAACAAAAAAATAATTTTACAAAAAAAGCAATCCTTTTGTAAAACACATTTCGAGTTTGTTATTTTTTTGCCCTAGCCTCAGCCTATTTTTTAAGGATTATGGACTTGCGCAAATTATTTATTAGCAAACAACCTGAAGCTGAAAAAAAACGCTCAAAAGAAAAGTATGTACTTGAAAGAAAAACAATCTTAAGTAGCATACCTGAGCCCACATTTCTTCCATAACGATAAGAACAACCTTCCAGTGAACGTCCCATGGTTTGTACATGCTGCACAAATCTGAAGCCGGTAGCAAAACGGCTACTGTCGCCATTCTGAAGCAATGAGATAAAATATGTCGAATACGCATGACAATCGTTCGTATTAAAGTATAATTCGGATCCGTGATGATAAGCTAGTTAATCAAAAAATTGACTGACTCGCAGCAGTAAGTTTTTCAAGCCTACTTGAGCGTCTGTGATAGTTAATGATTTCTAAGATGAATGCTGCCAATACATGAAGGTTAAAAGTTATCCAACGTCAATACCCGGGTTTGCTTGCTGTAAATTTAGTGTGGTGTCACAGTCCTTCGGACTATGTCGCCATTTTACAACATTGCTAACTTTAATTTCGATTTGTACAAATACGCGTAATTAGAACAACCCAATTGAACAGATCATTTATTAAAAAACTGACACAACATGAAACAGAAGGTAGGATGTGATGGGGTGTTAAGTAAAACAATTAGACAACGATAAGGTGTTGCGGCGAATAAAACCCCCTAAAAAACCTACAAAATTACGCTTTGTATAATACACTGGAAAATTTTCCCTAAAAATAAAAATCAGGCATGTAAAAAGGGGAAAAAAGTATTGGCCTGGTGTGGTTATGCAACCCGACATTTTAGGACTGGAATTAGTCACTACAAAACCTTCCTTTTTATTAAAAAAATACCGTACTGACACAGAACATGGCAGTGGATCCATTTGACATGCTGTTGCAGTCAACATCACGTCATTTTATGAAAGTTTCACTAAAGGTCCTAGTTACTATAATTACTTGTTAAAGTGTGTCTATCCAAACTGGAAAAATTTACCTAGGACTGAAAGTAGGGAACAGTTTAACACTTTACTTAAGATGTAATAATAGTACCTCTCTTCTTTTTGCTGCCAGTTAACACCGTCAGACTTCGCCAGCAAATCCCTCACAATTTTCTTTGAACCTTCCAGTCGGCTAAGGTCAGTCGAGAGAATTGCATGTTTAATAATCATCAAGATCTTAAAGAGAAAGTAAATAGTTTGGAGCAGTCGCGGTTTGTAATAATAACCACAGATACAGCTTTTTCTCCCTCATGCGTGTTTAAGGCGAAAGGGAAAATCCACGTCGTTCTTGATTTATTCAATTTCTTACTGTCGCGTGTGTGCGTTCTCACGTGACTTCACCTTATTATAAGTTTACTGTATTCTGACGAATTAAGGTGTTTAGAAGGGCAGGTTTGGAAATCATCTCTGGGGTACCACAATTTTGAACGACAAAACTACTTATTGTCACGCTAATCAAGCAGCCAAGTATTCTTACGCATAAACACATCTCAAGGTTAAGTCAAATGCCCAAAAAAGATTAATACATTATGAAAAAGTAGCTGGTCTCACTAGACGTAAAAATACCTGAATTAATCCACTCTGGTTACAATAATAAAAATAATATTTTCTCGGGAGCTGGTACCATATCATTTACAAATAAAAGTGTAGAAAATCGTAGTACTCAAATGTTTGCTATAACGTGGCGTGACTGCTTTTAGCAATGTCAAATCAACTGCTATACTTGCTTGTCCATAAATAAATAATACAAAATGCAAAATTCCCTTTGGTAATTGGGTTTTGTTCAAATTCAGATGCTGGGAGAAATATTTTCTTTTCGTAGAAGCTATAAAATGCATTTTGACACTACAATTGAATGAAACAACAATTTAACTATATCAGAAAACCATAAGGTCGATGCTGGAGGAAGTGATTTTGAGTAGCACTGAAAACGGTTCTTCAAAAATTTACTTCGAACTTTACATGAATGTTTAAGGTGTGTCGTGCATCGTATACAAATTAATTTTTTCCCATTTTGTTCATTATCTCGGTCTTTACATTTCTATAATTTAAACGGAGTTTTCTCAAAAGCTATTACCACCTTAGAAAGAGAAATGAGGTTCGACATACATAAAATGAAGCACCAATGCTTAAAGCAGGCATTTTATCAAGCTGCTGGAACCTAGATAAATGACGTGCCATCATGTCTTGTAGAAATATACGTAAAAGCATGTCTAGCACTGTAGCTCAACAAAATACAAAATCACGGAACGAAACCTATTTCTTAAACAAAGAATATTAATACTAAAAACGGAAAGTTACTTGCGTGTTTAACACATCGATTCAAAAAAAATTCAAGAGAAAATATAAAATAGGCGTTTATTTCAAATGCGTTTGAGAGAATTAAACAGTTCTTAATTTTTCAGAAATTTACTTGGTGTACGTTCGAATATTTCTACAAAAAACACAAAGTTTAGATGTGGATGATTACTTAAAACCAGGTAGCTGATATAAACGTATATACTATGAGAAAAAATAACCAAAAGTGGCAATAGAAGTCGCTGAAAGGTGTGACAATATTTTGAAAACTTTATTGAACGTAACCTTTGAACATAAAGTTAAGGACTGCAAATCGATAGAAGTGTGGTTCTTCGTTTATATGTTCTCATCACATAATTGTACCTCAATACATATACACAGATCATATCTAATATTCTTCTAATTCAGCAAATTACAGGCAATTCATCAATAAAATACATGACCACCATGTAATTACTTTCTAGAAAGGCACTTTATACGTCTTCGGTCTTGTAGAAGTGGTTTCTTACATGAATATTCCACATCGTAGCCGAAGCATTACGCTCTACGACAACGTATAACCCGCAACCTCACAAAGGCTCAACGTCAATACTTTAACAGAGCATGCATCCCTTTGCTAAAAGCCATTTGTGAACATACAAAGGAAAATACGCTTCAAGTCATATGGGCTGTAAGCATAAAGGCACACATAGGAGCTAGGCTCAAAGCCAATTTCGATAAGTAGCAAATTGTATTTGTTAAAGAAAGGAACTGACGAGGTGAATAATCTTACAGACCGTTTTAGATCTCCCTTTTGCCTTTAAAAAAACACAGTTTTCATAAAGCGACTTTTGATAGCTCGAGAGCTTAGGGGAAAAAACTGTGACGGATAAAATTTTGAACAAATCTGTCACATCCGCTGGATATTTTTATACAGCTAATAGCAGAGGCTACAGTAGGATGGACTCCCTCACAGCAAACACAGCCTTCTTTTGGAACTTCGGTCTAAAATCATTTTACAAAGTCCTGCCATCAAAATAAAGACACCCATTAAATTTTTCAAGAGGCGGTAATAAGTTACCTTACCCTATTACAACTAATAGTCCCTGGGGAAAGTAGCAAATTTAGTTTGAAAAATGAACGCAAATGTTACTATTGAGAATACCTTGGGGCAAAATCGACAAATTTAGAGTTTACAATTGGTATTTTACAAAAAAACAACACTTTTAGAATAAAATCATCAAATACGCTGTTTTTTAATCTTAAGGGTTTATAAGCCAGAAGCCAATTGTTGCGAATTTAATGAATGGTTGGTTTTACCAATCATGGTGTGTGGAACTGGACGAGCTATTTAATTTCGACATTAAACTTGAGTACTCAAATAACATTTCCATCTCTGAGGACTTGACGGTTTCGAATTTGAAAACTTAACGTGCTTTTTGACAAACATCCAATGAAAGGGTGATTAATTCGTGATTGTGCATGAATTTTGACTTCTAACATGACAAGAAGCAAATGGCAATGAAAAAACACCTTCCAATAGACACAAAAGGGATGACTTTCATGAGTTAAATAAAAATTATTCTTTTAACCTACTTCATAATAGGATGCTCCAGCAACGTTTGCGAATATTTGATTTCCAGGCTGCTGAAAGAAGAAAAACCCTTTCATTAATGGGGTGCTTACTTAAAACAGGTGTCTTTTTGCAAAAAATGGTGGTTTAACCAATAATGCCTTTTCTGAGTGATTGCGAATGCAATACTTGAATCCTAAAGCCTTCGCAATCAGGTAACCCGTGAGAAATTTGAACTCCGTGGGTACTCAAAAGGTGGAAAATAAACTATCAGTTTGCAGTAACGCCAAATTGACATGTGGTTGCGTTCAACTCGAATAAGAATTAAATACCTGCAAAATAGTAAGCGTCATGTTAAAATGGTGATGCTCTAGAATGGAGGTTGAGTAGAGGGTGGCAAGGGGAGTACCCTTCTTCCGTTGATAGCTGTTATCCCTCCCACGGTGATCAAGATCGTGGCACAGTGCAGCGATAAGAATACACAGCTTCTGAAGAAAAAAATCGCAATTCCAATTAAGTGGTAATGAACAGGGGTCTTGTGAGTCAAATGCTGAGCTCTCCTGGAGGTACTGAACTACCAGGATGTCACGCATAAAGCGGTGAACACAAGCAGCTGACTGGCTCTTTTTCGACATCATTCAGGGAATCGAGTGCTTTGTCTCCATCCATGTTTTTATTTAAATTTACGTTGATAAATTTGTAGGGCATTTTGACGACTAGTCCTTGAATGAATTTCTAACTGTCAGACACAATTTCCATGCATAAATGGCATTCTTCTGGAAAAAGAACTCCCACTAAAAGCTAATTTGAATCAAAGCCTTTGTAAATGCCTAGTTAACCACGCATATTTTATAAGCAAGGCTTAATTTTACATCGTGGTATTGCAACAGAGCCTGTTTTTATTAGTCACAGAACGGCGACTGTTAAAAACGATCATTTTCAAGGTCAGGGGAGTAGTTTGACGCTCTTTGAAGATTGATTTGTCCCAAAGTCAATAGTCATTGACAAGACTTGGAGTTCTGACAATCAGCCGCTTTATATGTATTGAAAATCACTCGAGAATAGTGGAGTAAGTTTGTATGGAGATAGTTTAGATACCATGACTTACTTCGACCTCCGTGAATTTGGCATCTTCGCACTTAATCTGCGCATACGCAGCGTGAGCCACCGAAAAACCATGATACCAATTGTGATAAATTACATCGCGGTAGTTCTTTCGTACTGTCAGAGTAAACCGAATTAATGTGTGAAGGTCAATTCTGAAGTTGGAGAGGGAAGAAAATGCATAATTTGGTAAGTACCAAATGATTAGTGAGGTTAAAATTAATTTGAAAAAGTTTAAAAAGAGTGGAAGGGCTATAAAATTTTTGGTATTGTAGCAATGGGTGGTAACGTTACATTAAAACCCGCAGTGTCAGAGGGAGGGTGGTAAGAAGGCGAATTGACGAGGTGGCCACAACGGTGCGTACCCCCATCGGGTATGGGATTTCACGTCTGTGGTACCGAGCTTGTAAAAGCTGACTGCAAAACGTTGTGTGCCAGTGACGATCAGTGTTTTGTGCTCAAGCAGATTTGTATAAACATGTGGGTGGATAGTGAGTAAGTCAAGGAAATAAACCCTAAATGAGAGAGCAGGCAAAACTCCACAGTACGCTATTCGCACGCCCTACTGACATGTACCCGACCCCGTGGCGCACTGACGCAAACACCTGTCGAGCTCCAAGCACAAAGGCCTGTAATGTAAAATTAGATATCAGATTCTGCCGCTTTGCAACTCACAGACTACGAGTTCAAAACCTATACGTTGTACATTTAGATAGGATAAAAGTCACTAGACCTAACTGTCAATGTTTGAAATTGGATTAATGAAACTGGAAGGTAAATTGTTGATCATTCAACCACGCGAAAAATGAAAGAAATTTCCAAAGGGCCTCGGATCATTGGTTGCTAAGGCAAGCTAACAGAAGAGGTGGCATTACCTCTGGGATTTTATGGTAGATCTGGTCTAAGAATCAGCTGCCATTTCCAGCATAATCAGCACAAACGACTGGTTTATTTAAAATTTACAGCGATTAAGAGTTTAGTCTTCAAAGGCACTACGATAAATTGGCAAATAAATTCCTAAGAAAAGTACATTTTTGATGTGTCTCTGTTTGTAAAATTGACAAATTTATCGTTTTTAAACAAAAACTAAAAAGAAAAGTTAGCATTAAAACATTGGCTGAATGAACGATAGCAAAATATATAATTTTGAGTTCAAGAGTCGCAATATTTCCCATCGTTTTTGAAACGAAAGTCAGCTGAAGGTGTATTACTATGAATTGGTAAATTTTATTTCGAAACTATTTCACGAAATTGACGTGGATAAAAGCAGCTGAAGGGTAATAGCATGCGGTGAGGACGACTGTGGTGCAAGACAACTTACTTTGACGGACCAATGACATCATGGACCATGTAAATGAAGGACGCGGGCATTTCTTCGTCCGGCATTCGCCATGGAGAAAACAGTGGACTAAAATTTAAGCATTGCGCATCAAGTTACCCAGCATATCTCTTTATGGAATGCACTCTTAAGAAGGTAAACCATTGAATGATCTACACCAAGCCAACTTATACATCTTAAACAGCATCAACCTTTGGTAAAAGGGTATTTATCGGAAGGATATAAAAAAATTTCCTACTCGGTTATTCCCGCAATGCTGTCTGGAATTTTATGATGACTGTATTCCAAAACGTCCGCTTCAGAAGCAAGGTTGTGATGAAGCATGATCTCCATGGTAATCCGGCATTTTTGTTCGGATCGGAACATTTTCTCGTACATCTAGCATTTAAATTACAGGGGCTTAGGGGTACAGAACTGTTTCATCATTTAAAAGGTGCATAATTAAAGGGTAATGACTGGTGAAAGTCCTTAAAAGTGCACATTCCTCAAACTACATCAACCAGCATCATGTTGAAATGCTGCGCTTATATTTGTTGAATGGTTAATTTGAAACACGATCAGTACAGGCAAAGTTAGCTACCAAGCAAACGGGGACAACCTCCGCTAGAGTAAACAGTCAATTCATCTGCTTATTCCACGAAGAGATATTTTTTTAATTACGTTTTTAAATCGCTACAACCCTCACGAGATAGCAGACAAATAAAGCAGCTGGTGAAAAACTGCCGTTTTGCACTAAAAGAACAACAATTAACTGCATGTTTTAAGGTTCAGGTTGCTGAGAATTACCCAACACAAAGATTCGTTTTCGATTATTATATTACACTCAATTGCCGTTAACGTAAATTGAAAAAAACGCACAATATTGCACGGTAACTCCAGGTATTTTACAATTTATCCACACAGCGTCTTTTCACATTCATCACATCATTCCGGTAACAAAAGCTGTATTGATGATGGCTAAATTATACGCAGATTTCGGCAACATGGAAAACGAATCGATACCTTCGAGATATGAAGCGCGAGTCCACAGAAAAGAGAAAAGTCCTTCATGTTTTCCATGTCATTGTCATTGAAATCTCCCGTTACCTTATTTAACAACTGCAGTACAGCTACTACTCTAAAACATAAGTTATAGTAATTTACTTTAAGAGGAAGATATGGGTTCAGAAGAGCAACCACTAACTTGAGATGGGTGGGTTATATCCAATTACCTCATTACATGTTGAACAGTTTACAGACCGATTTCAATCAAAGGAGGCCAGGGCCTTACTATTGGTTACCAGAGGTTTGAACAGAATAATATCAGAAAACAAGGGCCAACAGAAAATAGCTACTAAAGTTTTATTAATAGTGGAATCAGTTTAAAATCATCAAACTTTTCTTAATATTAGATGTCGTTGTGAAGTTACGTCCGCTAACTAGAACCGAAGATGTCTTATTTCTAAAAGCCGACCATCCAACTTACTCGTTTCCGACCTTAATCGGGATGGTTACCATGTTGGTGATTTGAAAGTTATCATTGAATATGCCATCGTATTGATAGAACTTTTCGTCGGATTTTGGATCATTGGTGACGAGACATTCGCCCGTGCGCGCCACGTAACCTGCTACCCCAACACTGAGAGGAAGCCTTAAAAATGAGGTGATTGGTCAGTAAGGTGGGCGCTAAATAACAAAAAATGGGCTAAAGTTGACGCATATTCAAGTAAATGACGTTTTTGTCTCTTTGACTACACAGAATATCACAGAAGATACGATGAGTCTTAAATGTGGCTCTCATGGGAAGCCACACACACACATACGGTTGTTTGCCATTTAGTGAAAAATTAGGTGGCGCTGCGATGGAAGCACATAGTTGTAAAAACTAGTCTTCGTTTGTATTTGGCCCACGAAATGAGATCTGCACAACAACTACACCTCCAATCCTCATTTGTAGTGCACTCACTGGTTCAGTGTTTATTTACCTGATTTGTTCAACTGTTTCAAATTTGGTTTGGTGAAGATTGCCACGATCGAGTATGGAAGAGATGAGCTCCTGTTTCTGATGATCCACCAAAAAAAGAGTACATCTTTCGGCCTGAACAATTTCCTTTGCGTAAGTCTGCGAAAAGAGGGAATCTTACCAATTCAGACTACTTTTACCTACCCAACACTGGTTACAAAACATTGCTGATTCATAATAGAACTAATAGAGTAGTAGCACGCAAATACGTTTAGTTTAAAGGATTTGGAAAACATTAAGGAGAAAATATGCCTGACCATGCAAAGGCGGATACGCTTTTTAAAGGTCACTTTTTGCGTCTTGCAAGCGGGCGTTAATCACATATTGCTAAGGCAATGTAGAATACGATAAAGAGTATTTAAAATTTGCGTCAGACGGAGTGACCTGTATTTATTTCCTGTGTCCTTAAAGAACACCCAATTTATTCAAGGTCTCAAATGGAACTTACCATGATAATGTGCATTACACCATCCATTTCCCTTATGTGGGAGAGCATTATTCTGCAAATAATAAAAGCCGCATCGAAAGCTGTTGGGTTTAGTAAAAGCTTATCGTTGTTTGGAAAAATATGGACGTAGTAAGACAGTGCCAAAGACACTAGTGAAATATTAATGGACTGAGTGACCTTACCCCGCTACCTTTTTACTCAGAATGCTGTATGCCGAAATGGAGTGTTCGACATTTATTTTCTGCAATGCAAAAAGTTAGTGGACAAATATCAACATCAGAAAAGAAAGAAAATGCAAAAGGGTTTGTCACCTCTTTTAGCAGGAGTGATGCCTGCATTGTGTGAAGCGTCGAGTGGATAAGCTAAAGGAAAAAAAATAATTTTCATGCTCAAAGGATTATTCATGACAAAAGCGACATGTCACATGATCCAAACAACACACAAACTCGTCTCATTGCTGGTGAAGGAAGCCCTACACATCTAGCCAAAGATTGCACAAAGTCATCGCAAAAAACACCGTGAGGAAGAGCAAACTAAATCTAACCTTCACTGATCTTTGGTCAAACTGGGGTCGACTATTTTGACGCAGCAGTTCAATGACAGCTGTGAGCGGAAAAATAACCAATCTGAAGTCAAATTGTAACGTAATTTATCGGATAATGTAAAAAACAAACAAACTTAGAAATAGAGTAAAGCTAAAAAACCGGTTTATCTTCACAGGGCACAAATTGGTCTTCGAAGTGATGCATACTTTAAGTCAAAAACACCTGAAAATGGCGACGAGCAGGTAACATCAGACATTGAGTCCGGTTGCATGCTATTTTGACAAACATACAACGAAACTACATATGTCGGACGTTTTTAAATGTTTATTGCCATCTAAACTCACGCACCTTTTTTGGAGTCAATTCAGTTTCTTAAAATGCTTAGATACTGCTCTGTTGAGCTCAGGAGAAAAAATAAGAAAAAGACAGTAAGCTCTATAGGAAAAGTAAAATTGAAGGCATTGATTTATGTAGGTGATTTTTCTCTAACAGTTGTCGAGATAAGTTCAGGTAGTTTGGTCAATCGGATTACTGATTCCGCTGATGGTCCCAGAATTAATGACATTATTTTAAAAAAAAGATCTGGTTATTTCTTCACCTCCAGTAAGCGAAAGGTAAAAAAACTTGCCAATTACGTTTCCATTAATTGAGAACAACGGATAGGCAAAAGAATGTCTAAAAGGAGATCCGTAAAACAGCATTTCTTTGCTCCATCTCGCATCCTAAAAGCAACACGAATCTGACTAAATTTACTACTACACTTTTAATAATATACGGACATCTAGCTGCCTAACCTAGCTGTTTCCCACTGAAAATTTTGAGGAATCTGATATAGTTACTAAGACAAGGTGACGCACTTTGCTTTGATCAGTGACAAACGTCGGCATCAAACTTTCATTTCGGTCTAATCTGAGTTTCAAATCACTTACGTCAGTAAATTTTATGCCACGTATCTTGATGTACCATTACAAATTAGGTCATTAAGGGCTTATATCGCCAAAATGGATCACGCGAGTAAGTTGAGGTAAATAATTTTTATTATGAAGAAGGTGATACAAGGAAACGTAAATGAAGGCACTTGATAAAAAAAACCTCGAGAATAAACAAGACTAGAATCCAATACGAGGACTGAAGTGGTGTTTGTGGCACCATAACTATAACTATTGTAGCATAGAAAACCTTCGTACTTAGACCGCCCATTTAAAGACAAGCCGGTACGTTATTTTTATAAAAAAAAACAAAATTAGAGAAATTACGAATTTCACAACGTACGTACACGCATCACAAAGTTGGCTATTACCATATTGCCTGACCGAAACGCAGCCGTAGAGGGAGTGCAGAAGGCTGAGTTTTCACCTGGAAGAGTGTACTTAAACTGACTGAAATTGAAAAAAAAACCGGTGTTTAATAAATGAGTCATGCATAGGAGAGTAAACACTGTGTGGCCTTTTGAACACAAAACGCCAGTACCTGATATTATATGGTTTACACTTATAACTGAGGCTCGAAGACCTGATGTAGGGCTTGGCGACCCCCCCACAAACAAGGGCAGGCCTTGAGTTAAGCCATCGCGGTGAATACCTGTAAATGCGACCTAGCACCACCAAACGTCCCTCTTCTGCATCGTTCAGTCGGTGCAGGGATCAATTAGATGACTGCACACCGCAGTTCACCGAGTATTAAACGCATATTGAGGGCGATAACAATTTTGATCTACTGAAAAGACAACTAGGCCGGAATTGCAATCTTGGCCATCGGATGGGACAATTTGCGTACCATCGCCACGCCCACTGTTGGACAGCTGGTATTGGCACAAAGGCGCCAATCGCAGATATGACACATCAGGGTCACGTACTTTACTACCAGTATGAATGTCAAGTCACATGCAGTGGGATAACACTACCTCTTCGAGAACCTATGTAATGCAGTACATTTGTTCGCCTTTTGCCTACACCAACAGTGACTGAATGTCGTTCAATAAGCCCCATAAAAGTGGAAAATAATTAATGACAGTGAGGCGAAAACTGCTCACTACATTGATTACAAGGTAGACGGACACAACGTAGATCGTTCATTGACATTCGAAAATGGGCTGCGAAAAGAAGGATTCAAAATCGGTCAAAAGGGTTTGTAAGCGTGTACGCTTCATTCGTCGTGCTAATGTTAGGTATTTATGTACAAGAGCGATAGGGAATTAATAGCATAAACTTGTGCAAGATATCCTAAGGAATTTTATTTTACACTTTCATAAGGAGAATCAAGCAACGGGATAAATGAATCCAAACCTGGCACAATCACTCTTGAGAAGGGTAACTTCCCCACATTCATTTTCTTGTATGTGTAAATAGATGACGTCAACTTCGGCGTCTATTGAAAAGACATAAACGGTTACTGGGCACCTACGTAGTCAAAGATTTTGATTTCCAGAACGATTTCACCTGTTGTGTAGAAAACGCAATCACGCAAACTTTGGTGCTATGGACGAAGCCTAACTCTACATAATAACTTCAAAATCAAACAGAATAATGGATTCAGTAATATATTGTGTTGAGAAAGCTGCGTTATAGCACAGATATGGATGTTCACTTCTGTACTAATGTGCTCCAAATGTTGTCATTGACTGTAATCAGCCTATGATTCATTTTAGCCAAAAAGACTCACATATTTAAACTACGTTTCTAAACCGTGGAAAATTAAAAACAGCCTAGTTGGTTCCATACAAAGGGCATTTAAAGTGCACATTAACTTACAATCCGTTATGAATGTGATAGCCGTACGAAAAATATCCTTTCGTGTGAATTCTCGCCTGACAATCTTCTCGGTGAGTTCTCTGGTCATATTGGGGAGATCAAACATATAAGCGTCACTTCGTGCACTGCGTATAGAATTGATATTTTTGGCTATTGCGCTTTCTTCCTTTAAATGCACCGACGGTTTAAGATGATGCACGGATGAGAGCTCGCTGCGGGCTATGATGGACGCCAGTCTGACGCCCTTAGCGAGGTGAGTTGGCTCTACTGTTTCAAACGAGCAGCCTAATGAGATTAAATTATGGGTTTGTTAGGCAATTTAGAAGGAGAGAGGACCAAGGAAAAAAATCACTCAAAAGTCATAATGATTCTACCAAGGCCACCGTTTTCGTAAGAACCTTTTGTACTCAAATACGCATGTTTCCACAGCAGCCCCAGGAGTGTTAATTGCCTAGACAAGCTTGGAATAGACAGGGGATATATCAAGAAAGGAAGTTAGCAGCAAACCCACATGAGGTGTGTGCTCAAGTTCTAGGACAGACTAAGTGTCCGGAAGGGCTTACAGAAGAACCAAAATGTTTTTTTCTCATGTAGAGGAAATGACGCAAAAAAAAATTGTTTGCCTTAAGGTTAACTACAAATTAAAGGGAAACTAATTGAGCGAACATTTTTTAATAGACCAATTCACACCAACTAACTCGCTAATGGATCTTCCTCGTCCAACTTGAAGCGTAGCAGAAAACAATCCGATCCGGTACAAACTGGCTTTACACACGAAGCAGAACATTCAGGGGGCCTTATGTCCCTTTTCTCCTTTGGTTCAAGTGGTAAGTGGTCTACACGCTTTCCGTCGTAGTTTCGATCTACAGCCGTAGGCAGATTTTGTTCGTTCACAAAAAGTCCCATTGATTTGCAACCAGCCTCACGAACTTTGTCAAGTCTGCTTTCCGAAGGCTCACGAGTTATCTTATGCTGTGACAAGTAATTTCTGCTTCGTTTTAGCTTTCGCGCGTTTTTTGGGGGAACCGAATCCAAAGCCATCGTGTTTTTGCCGGGCAGGTAACAATGTGAACTTGATTTATCTGAAATTGACAGACGTTACCGGTGTTGAGCTGAAACTTATCATCATTGCGTATAACAAAAACTTACCGTCTTCATATAGTCTTTAAAAGAATTGCTCTTAAAATTATCGGTACCTACGTTTTCTTCGCCCATTGGCCCTGTTTAAAGTGTCGTTAAAACCGCAACAGTTAGAATCATAAAGTAAATTTGCCTAGCGATAAGTGGACAGTTTAGCAATTTGCTGGAGTCATAATTGACAACAGACGGCGTCACCCCGGAAAATGACATTACATAACACTGTTTAAAGCCTAAAGGCTATAAAATAGGGCTTAATAGCACATGGCAGACATTTAAAAATTCTCTAGCCGGTGACCAGTAGGAAACTGCTTTCAACAAAAAAATCCACCAGAAGAAGTACTGAATACCCTAACCGTTCACTTCAGAAAAAAGGAAAGTGAATTCACGGGTCATATTAGCAAACAGTGAATGAGTTTCTCGATATCAGAATCAAAAACAAAGCTACTGAAGTACTTAAGGTTTAATGATCGTGTAAGAATAATAAAAGACGCATGGTCATTCAAAATTAGCACAAACCTATTACATTTCAACGATGAACACTTGAAACGCTGGCTGAAAAATGTTCATGTAATCGTTGAAGCTAACCCCAAATTTAGGCTAACGCCATGCATTATGTCCTTGGTGTTATGTGTGGGTCAGATCGGGTAATGTTATTCAAAACTTCGCTCTTCTAATGGAAAAAAATCTGCCCCTCAACATAGTCACGTGTACATTATAGTACTACTCTAACTGACTTGGTTTATGCATAATATTAACCCCATTATGAATGGCGGAAATCAACTGGTGACATTAAAAGGCAATGGAATGGAACTTCTTATTTAGTAGACTGGCCGCCAGTACCGATTTGTGTTCAATGGCAATAAGGCTTGTTTCAAATAAATGACGCAAATTTGAACAGCAGAGGCTGTTGAACGACTAAAAGAAAAGCGTGTTTCCTGTCTAGCGACAAGTAGCTTTAGGATACCTAGAGCAGCATGTACATTAACTTGCTCAACCTTGTTATCTGATGGTTACTTAATTATCATATTACCCATCGTTTGCTAGTTATTTTCACCTAAAAGCTCCCTAGGGTCCATCACTTGGGCTAAAATTTGTTTCACACGTACAGGAAAACCCACAGGCAGTCAAAGCCTTGCAATAGGAAACGGAAAAGTGAAAATTCGTACCCATTTTATAGTGGTTAAGTCTTTGGTATGACAGCTGACTACAACAATATAAAACTCAATACTTTCTGTAATAAAAACAGGAGTAGTTTTTCCTTAGTCAGACGACGAGAACAGAAAATGATAATTGTATTACTACTGTATTCTGATAGACGAGCAGGCTCGCAACATACTCAAAATTACTTTATTTTCATCGTGAAATATTAATTATTGCATTAAAAAACTATATATCCAATTTTTATTAGCTGTAGACGAAATTTAGTTTCGGACGCAGGAAAGGTATAATTAAATCTAACAAAAGGATATGACTTACTAGATAGTTTGATATTATGCACGAAGCTGTTCTGTAGAGTTTGGGACTTAGAAAGGTCTTCCTTAAGTAATTCACAGAGATCTCCTTTCTGTGTGGTATTCATATATTTAAGGACAAATTCAGTGTGCAGATCCATGTTTTCAAGAAAGAAAGCAGACGCTTCAGAAAAAGTTGTCATGAATCCAACTGGTTCCCTATAAAAAAGGAGTAAAATGCAGCGCAAGGAGTAAAACCACACCAATCCTCTGGCTACGTTTCATCGTGTTCCAAAATCAACCAATGACTGCGTGTTAATAGACAAAAAATAATCCCCTGGAAATAATCTCTTCGGCATTGTAATAACCTGCCAAAAATCTTAAAGTAGCACAAAAATGTTCACGTCAAATTTCAAATTTATCGATCAACGGCGAAGCAGATGAATTATTACACCAAATGTAATGCAACGTTATTCTACGCAACGTTATATCCAAATGAAAAGCATTCTATTCTAAGCCGAACGGATTGACTAACACAAGAGAATGGTGGAATCAATGACGTAAACGACAACATTACAGAGACAGTATTCAAAAGCTCACATTGTTTTGAACGATATTTACTCAAGTCACACTCCTTCAAATATCTATAAAAGTTAGGCCACTCCCATAAAGTATCTTTTGCACATTAGTTTTGTTTCAAAAAGATTTCGGAAATAAATTAGAAGAGATTATTAACTTGGAAGCGCACGCAAAATTTCTGGTGGCTATAACAAAAACACAATGTCACTTAATAGTAACTGCATCGAGGCTGCAGCCAACGTTTTCTATTTTAGGCAAAAAAAAACTTGGGACTACTGAGTTTATAAAAAAAGTATGTTAACAAAGGAAATAAGGCAATACAATAACACTTAATAAAGCAATTAGCGTTAGAAATTCAGTAAAATAACTTGCCTGTTATTTCAAACCATTAACACCATATAAAACAAAATCCCTTGTATGACTTAAAAACAATTAAAACCGCGGTGCCGCGAAGTTGGTTTAAAACCGCGTGCATTATTTATCGCATTGATATGATAAAATAATGCTGCCAATTTATTTCTCAGTAATTATCTTTGTGGTTATTTATTAAATCGCTATTATTATATAATTCAAACTTATGCACAAAAAAATTAGGTTTTCAGAACGGATATTAAAAATCTAAAAGTGCGTGATAATCAAACATGTTTAAGATGGTGAAGGGATTGAGGTAATCTATGTATTAATAAAAGTTCTTTAGTACGCAAAACGTAATTCATAAGCAATTGGTCATTTATAAAAGGAAGTCCACCGAAATTCTGGAAAATAATATGCAGACCTGATGCTTTATATATTTATAGTGTGATCCATACGGCCACTTCACGAATTTGTTCAAGTTTTAAAAGTTAAAGTGATGTTCCTTAAGTACCTAGTAATGGCCGAAAGCCTTTTAACCTAAAGGACGTAATAAATTCCCATTACTCAAAGAACTTGAGAGCGAAAGTGACTATTCATTTTTCTCATTGGGTTTAAGTTAACAGTAGCGGAGACCATCATTTTGGATGTTAGAATTTAAACGTTTCGAAACATCCCACTTTACGCTCCACCATTAATGCTGACACAATACTTTAAAAAAATTGAGGAAAATGTTGATGGCAGCACTGCGCAGAAGTGTGGCTTTTTGAGATAACAATGTTTTCCGCTGGTAACAACAAAAAAAAACTAAATTATATGTCTGCGTAAATACAAATTCACGTGCTTTACTGATTTAACGTCCTCGGTTATGTTTTTTGAAAACAGCTGACTAAAGTAGCGTGGTGAACAGATAAGTGAAAAAAATCAAGAACCTTGGTAATTAAATGTGGACGCTGGTGAACTGAGAACACAGGTTTAGATAAGTGACTTGGAAAATAACGCACTTTCGAATCTATCGAGTTATTTCTTTCTCCCTATGCCACACTTGTTGCAGTGTTTGTTTCTAGGCCTGTAGTAAACACTTCTTATTCCTAAGGTAAAATTCTAGGTTACTTAGCGCAAAGTACAACGTAGAAACCTGCCCGGAAGTAAGTTATGTCCTTTGCTATTTGGTTAAGTTCACATAACATCCTAACGGAATTAGGAAATATCGAATTTCTGTTAGGCTATTGTAATGTCTTTTGAGCGAAACCGGAGAACATTCTCGCTTTCGTTGACAACAGAACTGTATCTACATTGATAATCAGAAGCCAAAAGGTACCTCTTCCGTTGATGCACCGCAGTTACTTTTTCTAAATGCAGGTTCGAGAATGTGAAAACACCGCTCACACAAAACACCCTAAAATGTGAACGCACATCCAGAATGTCCTCAATTCTCTGGTTTAGGGATCGGATGAATATTACAGCGGAGATCTGTAACCAGCGAGTGCGCACGTATACAACCTTCCTGTAATGTTATGTAATCGTCTTGTTGACTTTCATCAAGCGCAGCTTAAGCCCTCTGTGCATGCCTAAACAGCCACACTTAGCGTTGATCGAAAAGCACACCCTATAGCTGTGGCGTGAATTTAAGAGGCCCTATAAGAACGCCGGTTACTTTTCCGGATACTGATTAGGCATTGCGTCTAGACCAATCTATTCGGGAGTAAAATGAAGAGGTACCAGGACGATGCCATGTGTTCGAATCGCAGACGGCACTTCGGTTGCCTCAAAGACAAACTAGACAAATTGAACTAACCGATGAAATGTCCCCTGGCGAAACCCGCCATTAGCCCGCATATGACAACACAAACAATCAACCGAAGAGGGTTATGGGAATAAAAGAGAGACTTCCTGCTATGCATGTAAAATTACTTTCATAAGAAACTACTGATTTCCTCTTAATGATTCCTTAGGGATGAAAAACTGAATTCGGACTAGAGATAACTCAAATAGGGACTGGGTATTATAATAATGTCAAACTCAAAGACAAACAAATGGACTTAGTTTTAGGGAAATGGCACCATTTTCATCTAGCTCCCGATGACGAAAAGTCCCCATTTAGAATAAAAAAGCTTGTGGATCCTGTAGTAGACGGTTTATTGGATGAAGTGTGTTTCAAGTTGGGGGAGGGATTCAAGCCATGAGACTTATAAGTAGAGCAGAACTGAGAAACGCGTCAAGTGGTGGGTTGCCACAGTAGATCATAATATACAGAAACGCGACTTAGTCGATCTTGATGGCAGCGTAGATCTTACGCAAAAAGACAAACACCGAAAAGAAGCCAATCGTGCCGGTCAAAATCCAGAATGTCGCCGTAATTACGCAACAGTAGCCAAAGTATAGTAGCGTCGAGACGAAACCTGTGATCTCCAACTAAAGAAGGGGTCGTAAAAGGCAAAAACTCATAATAGGACACACGGCAACTTACACAACAGAAATATTGTGAACTTTTGACATGCTACTTTTCAGCTCTGTGCTGATGCTGAGGTTAGTGGGTTGCCTAAGCGCAACAAAAGTCAACAACTGCTAAGGTAAACAGGCACAGAAGTTTGCATCAAGACATTTGTAGTAACGATTGATGCAACTTTCGGTGTGGCATCAACAAGCTAGAACCCAGCATGGCACCACTTTACGCAACTAAGAGCCAACGTACCCGCGTCACGAAGTAGTAAATTGAATAAAGGAACAGGTAGAAGGCTGCTCCTCCGGATGTAATGAACGACCTCCACCACCAGTGGTAGTCCTGAAATAAAAATAAAACAGTAAATAGGAAAAAACAGCGGGCAAAAATGTCGCCGGGCTATTGGTGAAAGGCAATGAAGACAAATTGAATAAAAAAACAATACCATACAGATACTTTTGATAGAACATTCATAAGAAATCGACAAGTCACCGAGACAAATAGGGTAGTGATTTCAAAACGCGAAAACTGCAAATAGATGAAATTGGGTGGTCAATGGTTAAATCAGTTAAACAGCAACGAGATCGTGTGGATCTCCTCAATTTTTGTACATGCATCCCTACATTAGAGATTAAGACAGATTCAAAAAAAACTGAGGTGGTCTAACGTCATCAGGTAATTCGATTTTAGTGGCATGAGTTTGGTGCTGCAACATGTGTGACAACGCCCCAAATTATAGAAGCCATGAAGGGTTTTCCAGCGCGATTAACCACCGATCAGATTGGAACACCAGAAGGGTATTACCACATCACATTGCAAACAAACTAACGAAATAAGGTGACTAATGCCCCAAAATAGAACTTTTACCGAAACAGTACCGTGTAGAAGGCTAAAATATCCGATGACATACGTTATGGTGCCACAAGGACTACGGGGTGAAGGATTTATGTCACAAAACAAACCAGATTTACACACATGAACTTTCAAGAGTGGGATTACGCTGGATTAAGCTGTGAGACAGAAAAAAAACATGTGGGGGATAGAATGCATCCGAGCAAATTCAATTCTGTAACTAATATGTGCACTTGAAATAAACAAAATGTTAGCATTCAATAACCACGCGGATCGCATTGACATGTGTGATACCAGAAATGAAAAATGTCGAAAATGCATCAAATTACAAATTATTGACATGATTCATTTACGCGCGCTTGCAGAAAACAACTTGGCAGCCTTCCGCAAACCAAAGTGACGTAATATCAGAAATAAACAAGGCAATAAATGCGGCTAATTATTACTTGGTGGCATAATTTCATTTAGTAAATAGAAAAGAAACGGAATTAAATTTAAACAGCGAACCCACCTCGCTACACAGCTGGAAGTATGTCGTCACAATCGCAACTTGGACACAACTGATGATCAAAATGACGAAGACAATGAAAAGGAAACCAAAGAGGTAGTAGATTTGACGATTCCACAGAGCCTGAAAGTAGTACAATTGATAAGAGTAGTATTTAATTTAGTGAAACGCCAACAAAAGCCGATTGGCACTGGCTACCGGTAGTTGCATTATAAGGTACCAGGTAACTTTGAGGAATATACCGTGATTTGCTGGAATTATAGCGGCTTTAAGACGGACCGTAAAAGCCTTCCATGAACATTAACCTGAGAGCAATTAAGCGATCCTTTTGAGGAAGCATACTGGAGAGCACAATATGCACACGCCTTGCTGTATCTTCTGGTTAAAAAAGTCAACTTGAGTTGACTACATAACCTGAATTTAGAATAGTTAAGAATTATTGGTTTATAGAATCTGTCCATCAGACCAAGTTCGAATAGTGTGGGCACAAGTTAGTCCAGATATAAGAAGTCCGTTTAACAGGAAAACTTGCACATGCTGAAATCAGACTTTAAAGAGAGTTGACTCACGTTGAAAATAAAGAAAAGCTCAATGAAAACGCTGCCAAATGGGAGAAGACCACACAGTAACGTTCTAAAAACAAAAGCACAGAGGGTTGGTAGCTCACCACTTTCTCAAATGAATTTTCAACAAAAACGCCTCAAAGCAATGAAAAAAAAAAGATGCAAGTTTACGTGTCACCAGCTCCAGACTCGTGTACACCACGATCAACTACTACCATACAGCTTCGGTCTTAACCAAAGCATTGACCGGCTGCAACCGCATGGTCACTTGCAACTGCGCCAGAGAACTTCACAATCGGTTCCAGCGTTGAAAAACGACTATTTGCTAAAATGCACACGACAAGAATCACAGCGAAAATAGGAACTGAAATTTGACTGAAGGAGGGTTATGTCGCAGGCAACATAGGTTTACGTATTTTGAAATTGGGGAATCCATTGTTTAGCCATGATGATTTGCGATGAAGCGTAGTGGCAGCCTTAACCTCAAAATCGGCAAGTAACTTGGATTTAAAAAAAAACAAGCTTACGTTACGAAAAGATTTTGGTGCATTTTGCGATCGGGTATGGCGCGGGGTATCTGATTGGTACGGACGGGCTGTTCGTAGGGGCGTTTGCGTACACCAAAAAAGAAGCCAATGAAAACGAGAGGAAGAGAGACGAGAAGCCAGAGAGAGAGGATACCCAGAATCGTAGAAAAGGGGAGTGCTGCAGAGGATCCTTTTGCCCAGAGGAAAACGTTAATGAAGAGGCAAACCGCGAGAATCATACCCGGGTACAATAAGCCAGTCTAAAAGGGAAGGACTTAAATTTATCGCGAAAAAATCGAAAACACGAAGTACATGGATCCTAAAATCCACACAACGTATGAATCAACTGTGTGATTCCAGGGACACGAAGGAAACATAGGAGGTGAAACCAATAAAAAAAGATGATAGGTACTTATCAGATCAATGTATACGTATCAAATAATCGATGCGATTGGAAAATTTGTCCTCAACACTAAATATAAAAAGCAGAGAATTGATTACCACCACTTTTCGCAATTTCAAAGGCAAAACTAAGACACGACGGGTGGATTAGTTCCCTATGGAAGGGCCTTTATTGTCATATTGTGATTTCGAATTACCTTTTACAAATGTGAGCCAAAATGGATAGGATAAATTGGGAATGTATTAATAAGCGGCTACATAACCAAACCAGCTCCGATGGATTAAGACAGAAAAAGTCGAAGACCCAAAACTTCAGACATGGCCAAATAGAAGATGGGAATGAAAAGGAAAAGCGTGACTAATTTGGCCGGTTCATATTTTTTTTTCTAAGACAACAATTCTCAGGAAAAACACCACGCCACTAGGCACAGACGTGTAGCCACGAGCTACAAAATTGGCAACACAATTGATTTTTTTCCGAAAGACCAAGATAACCTCAATAAATTAGGTGTCTGATTTAGTGGACATCATCGAATTGGCAGTGAAATAATTTTTACATCCAATTTGCATACATGAATTTACAAAGAACGAGCATCACGCGGAGTTTGTGGTAATGTGATATTTACATTCTAGTCTACCTTAAATTGTTAAGAACATTGATTATAGCTGCAAAGCCCAAGGTTAACTTTCCCGAGGGACTACAATATTGGCATTTAAAAATAACATGATACATAAGCAAATATAAGGCTTTAAAATGTGTTTTATAAAAGTGCGGATTCCAAGACACGTTAAAATATACTTCACTGTGTTGAAATTCGTGTGGTAGGGAAACACTAGCTTGTGAATACTACTTAACTGACACACTGAGCAAAACAAGATTTGCCGTAAGTTGCGTAGGGGAGACCAAATAAAAGACTTAAGAATTATTTCACAAGCTAAGTGTTCCGGCTGAGCGGTGCAGGTAAAGGAAACGGCGGCTCTACAAAGTGGCGAGTTTACAGCCCCCTGATGGCTAATAATTAAAGACAGAAACGTACCAAGAGAGCAGTCGATTTCCAGTAGAAACCACGCATCGTCTTATAAATTCGACCGGAAAGGTATCCGGCAACAGCTCCCATAAAAACGTAGGTGAAGACAACGGCACTTAGAAGGGCTCCTCGAGCGGCCGGTGACAACATACCAAGCATTGCGAAGACTAGAACATGTAGCCGAAGAAAGTAATCAGTTAATTATTATTTCATGGCAAACATCGAACACTCAACAGTCATGCATGAAAAATCAGTTAAAATATTCAAACAAAAGGTTCAGGTTTTGCGTTAATGGTGGAGGAATTTGGTAGGAATCTTACAACCAGTCACGCGTTTGTTAAAACAATGGGTGGGTTCCAGGTCATTTCGTTGCATTTCGACAGTTGACGGGGAAGTACGGGACCGATGTGCCTTCTTATTGCGCAGCTATTTTAAAGGGTCCTATCAGGTCAACATATTGTACTGGTAGAGGTCGAGCAACTAATCAAGTAACAGCGTGATTTAACACCCAGTTTGAGGTAATTTTGTCAGTTAACAACGTAAAGATAGCCACGGTGTTGAGTTAGCAAATAAAAGAAATTATTCTTAAAGACTTCAAAATACAGAATTACGTACACAAGACAATAAAAGTCATGCACAAGAGTTGAACGCCCGAACCGACAAGGGCAGCCAATAGTGCACTACGACGTGGAGGTCTGAAGACATCACCATGGACCAACTTCCAGCCAGATTCTTCTATTATTTCCTCCTAAAAACCGTGTTTTAAGCATTGATTAAATTAAAGTGGTTAATAGCACGACTTACCGAGTCTTCCTCCCGATTATACGAAGCAATATCTCGACGTAGGGTCTTCAACAAGATAACAGCCATCACAGCTAATAATAAAGGATTACTGGAGCAATACGGACGATTTACCGGTAAGAAAGATGATGATAATAATGGAATTGACGATCGAGAACCAATGAATTTGACCATCGCCAGTATTGAGATATAAGTCCCATCGTGATGCCCATTCGATTTCTGAGCTAACCCATTCCACTTGGTACGAAAAACTAATCTCAGCAGAATGATCTTCTATGAGTACCATTGGCAAGACTTTGCCTTTCGCTATGTCACAAGTCCCATCGGAATGTGAAACAACATCTTTATTTCGAATGCTGACATATGCTGAGTGAAGGCAGATAAGACAACATACCTCATTGGTTCGACCGTCACACCGACAACGCGATAACGACCACTATTGATCATCGAATAAAAAGGCAGAATGACACATACTTCACTTCATGGTACTTTACAACGAATTTTAAGTGATTATTAACAAATATTTCATTTCCCATTGTGCTTCCAATACGGTAGCCGATTTCATACAGGTTTTGATTGCCGGAAAGGCGTTCAACGGATACGGGGAGATCGTCAACGTCACTACAAATTGAGGCGTAACAATTCCTTACATGTTGACAACATATTCGTTTTTAATCAAGTGTATGAGATTGTTGACTTGGGAAGATGATAGCGATTTCGGATTGCATGCTAGTAGACAGTTACTGCTTGAAAGCATTGAAATCTTAAAAGGAGCTTCAACGACACGATCACCGCGAAGGAGTTCACCTAAAGAGCACAATTATACCACAAATATCAGACTAACCTATATTTAGATTATCATAAGTGATTTTCCCATCGACGTCACAGAAGGAAAAGTAATCGTAAAAGTCCAAAGGCAATTGAGTGGCAGAGCTCACCACTTTCACAGCCTTAAAAAGTAGAGCCTAAACAACGTTCCTCACCTTAACACTTATTGCATCCCCCTTGTTATACTCGACAGGGGATAAACCAGGGATATAGAAACAAAAACAGGCCCGAAATAGCAACACGAAGACAACCACAGAACCGTTCATGGCTGATTACTCAGGGCTAATAAGGGTGCGGAAAACCTTCCGCCGCTTATTTAAGAGCCAATCAAATTTATGGGGAGAGGATCATCAACAGTAATTTTGTCTCGCTGCAAAATAATAAAGATTCATTTGCGTAATTGTGCTAAAAGAACAAAAACTATTATTATTGGTTTAAAACATTTTAGGCATAGAAAAACTAAGTAATTCCTACCACTTTGAAAAAGATTCCAGAAAAATTCGACCTTCCCTTGGGATGAATTTGATTTTCTGCGCCATTTTGAGATCGTTAACACACCCACCACCTCACACGTCAAGGTTGCGCAAGGTCGGAAATTTGTAGGCGTCTCAGCATTAATTACAGGGATTTTAACGGTCAAATGGTTTTAAACTAACTAAATAAATGGATATGGCGGATGGTTCATCGACTCCCTACCTGTCCTCCCACGTTCGCGATATTGCCTCCCTCGTATATTCTGAATTTGAACGCCTCGTATCGCGATATGGTGAAGGGGTAGTTGATGGGATTGTGCCTATAATGATAAGAACACTCGAACAAGTCGATCAGTTGCACGAAGCTAATGAGCTACTTAAAGTTTCGGCTACCCAGATGGAAATTGAGTTAGAGTCTGCAGTTAGTAGATTAGAAAGCGAAATCCGTGCCAGACGTGCGGCGGAAGAGGTAATTTATCTATGTTTAATTCGGGGCCTTCAGCAATTAATGGTTCTAGAAGATGAACTTGCCGAGGTAAAGGTACAAATGAATAAACGTGTTGCTGAATTTGCTAGAACTACCCACGCCCTTGAAGCTAGGTGCGTCAATGCTTACGAACTCGGTGAGTGGAAATTTTTGCAAAGTGTTTTGATTATTATTGCTGATGATGTTTTAACATTGCACTTTAATTATGACAAATTTGTTGGTTTGCCTCTTCCCTCAGCTATGTGTGATGGTGGCACCTCTTAGTCCGCCCAACACTGCGTTTTCATACAGTGGAGTAGCTCCAAAAGCAACGTGGATTAAACACGAATGCTACACTCGTCCCGTTTTCTTTACAGCTTTTATTGTTTTTTGTCCCGCTATTCGGCCGTGTCTCGTTAATGTTCATGATTACAAAAGGCTGAATATCTTAAGTTTATCTAATAATCAGCGTCAAGTTTTGGCTATGATGAATTGCAATTCCTACAAAATCGTTGCTTTCGTATTGCATAGTCGCTTTTCGAAACATTATGAACTACTTTTTTGTCCCATTCGTGGCAACATTCCTGTTATTTTATAGCCCTGGCATAGTGGTCTGGTAGTTTTATATGATAGTAAATGCTCCACCATCTGAATCTTGTACTACCCACTCTCCATCTAATCTACGGCTTGCGTTTCATGTGCCTCCATGTTTACTATGGAATTGTGCCGGTGAATGTCATTGCAGTCAAATCTACGCTGCTGGATATTCTCACAGTGCTCTTGTCCCAGTTTTTGAGTCCACTTTTGGCAGCGTTTAAAACGATCAATTTTTTGCCTCTAGCTTGATCAAACTTGATTGCGCTATTTGTAGGTCATGCATTCTTCCTTTTTCAGCTTCCAGACAAGAGGCGAAAGTGGCTGAATTGCAACGTGACTTGGCCAACGCACAGACTCGTTGTAATGATCTTCTTTGCTCTCACGTGGCCCATATCGAACGTTCGCGTAATCGATTACGAAGTCTTATGACCGAAGAATCCCGACATATCAGTTATTCAATCGATACCCCTCATCCCGTGCGTCTTTAACATAAAATCCTTTTCCACTTTCTAGAGCTAAAGTCGCTCCTTAAAAAAGTTCAGTTTGATTTAATGGAGAGTGTTAATCATTTTTATGAAACAACACCTACACAGTTTGAACCTGCTCTTGCTGTTAGTGGGACCCCATTGCATCCTACCGAAGGTTTATTCATTGTTTACATCTTTGCAAATTCGCAATTTACGAACAAATGCTCTGCTAGTTTTCTCTTTGAATTATTCCAATTTAAGCCCACCAAATAATGTACCGTCACTGTCTTCTGCTAAATGCTCGCAGAATTCAACCTCATGGGGGCTTTCGTTCATGTAGTTTTACATCTTCACCAGGCATGTCAACTGTTATTCTTTCAGAGGGCTGATTGGTAAGTTGCTTTGTCTGGTTCTCAAGGTTTCCAAGTTCCCAGGCCAGTTGGTTGAGATTCAGGCAACTTAGTTAAAATCTCATGTAGCTCAGTGGAGCGCAACCTCTAATTTTTGTTTTGACGTTGCCACAAATAAAACTAGTGCTCGTGCAGTGTTGTATGTGTTCATATATTTGTACGTCGTCTGCCCGCTTATCATTGCAGCATTGTCCGATAAAAACATAACTTTAAACCATCTTTTTTGGCAGATCCCAGAGGAGAGCTTAAATTACCCTCCTCGAATGGAGCCTATTGCATCGCCTGCTCTTTCGAAAGGTAATTTCATGTTACCTTTATCGTTAGTACTGTAAAGTCGTTAATACAATGTGCGTATCGTTGAGCCGCGCAGCGGTGTGCAGTCTTACATGACACCGTGTTTTTCGGTCCTACAAATTAAGATCAATACTTAGTGTTCTTTTTGTCTTGGTTTTGCCCACGCGTTAAAGCCAGAAAAAAGGTTTCATTGCAGGACAGTTTTCGTTCAGAACCTTATTGCATTTTTTCTCAACATGACTGTACAGGAAGTATTCAGGCTGTATAGTAAAACACGGAACCACAGGTCGACACCTCTGTGGTCTCAATGGTTTTGGCTTCCTTTGTTATCCAGTTGGTCGCCAGACAATCGATACGATGTGTGCATATTGACAAAAGATAATCGAATACAGACTTTTATCCAGTCTTGGTTTTTTATTAAGTGGTTATAAACCAGCAACCAATAGTTAATTATATCCTTAAACGAGTTATGAAAATTGCAATCCTTTACCCTACCTTTATCACTGGTCCCCTGTTTCATCTTCCCACTTCCGATCACTTTGTCAGTCCCATCATTTACGGCAATCATGCCGTCTGTGGACTCGTTAAAATTTTATGATTAGTGGGGGCCAATATACTCGCGTCAAACCGGTGTATGAATTAGAGGTTAAAAAGGTATTAGTTGTTTGAGTCCTACAATCAATAAAGGAAGCTAATGAAATGTGCAATAGAAGGATAAAATGTCTGGTCTTACGTAGGAAGATCCGAATATGCATCAGCGGCGGTCATCTTATTTAATTCTCTCAAATAGATAGGCGGATAGTCTTCTCTGGGGTGTTTTAGTCAAGCTATTTCCTTCAGTTGATGTAATGGGTTCATTTCGCCGGGCTTTGTGCTTTCTGAAGACTTGCTTATTTACTTAGGATATGTTGCTAGTCTGATCTTGATTTAGCGCAGTTAAAATCGCATGTTTCATAAACTATGGTAAATTCCAAAAGAGATTCCTACCACTGACATTTTTGCTAATGGTTTTAGAGTTTACAAAGTTGCAATATGGCGAAAGCAGCTTTGATGGAGCATTTCTTGATCACGAAGACGAGACGTAAGTATATTTTGTTAAATACCTTTCGAACAACTGCAGCGTTACTTGTATTTTCGTCATCAACACAGTTTTTACCATTGCCAACCCCTGCATAGCCGTTTTTCATAACACTTTAAGCCCCAGGTTGAGTTAACCGTTCCTAGTCCATGTTCCGTGCTTTAGACCAGCAGTCCCCTACTTCCTCGAGCTATAACTAAACTCTGCTTTTCTTAAGCAGACTAATTTTAGATTGAATTTCAGTAGTGCTATGTGAGGCAGTACAGCGTTTTCCTATGGATAGGATGGATGGATAAGGTTTGTCATGTCTGAAATTTATTTGTGCTCACGAAGTTGAAAGCTATCATTCGTCAGATAAGGGATTTTAATGGAAACTGTCAATCAAGGTTCATTAAGTTAACTTTTGCTCTTAGTTGTTTTCTCGGAATTTGGGAAGGAAGCCATCCAGTCACGCAAACTTTGCAAGGCGATTCCCTCTAGAACTAAAGCGACTGAATGTTTTGAGAAAATCTGTCGCCTACCCGGTACTTCTCGAGCGAGAGATATTATTTGTTGTGCCAGTGTTTGAAATACTTTTCGCGGAAGCGCCTACTTGCGAAAGCTAATCATGTGCCATGAGTCCTGGGAAAGTTGATTTGTTAGTTTTGCGTGCTGCTGCACAATGCAATGTTATGAATTTTCCCAAATCGTCTCAGGCTCTATTCTTGGTATCCCAACCCTGGGAACTACGCGTCCCTGCTGAGTGTTGCTGTGCGAAATTAGTGGTGCTATTGCCAAGTCTATCGCTTTCGCTAGTTAAAGTACGGGTCTGACTATGAGTGAATTTGAAAGTCGTCTCGCTAAGTACGGCCCTCGAACATTTTTTTTCGACAAACTAGCTTGCTTCAGCTTCTGTGCAAGCCTTTTTGACACTTGAAATCCGAAATTCACTTCGCAAGATAACTTTCATCATTGTCGTTTGCTTCGTAGGACTGATTACGAGGCCTTTTTGGGTGACCAACTTTCCACCAAGCTACCTTTGGACGACCCAGATGATCCTGTGTCTAGAGGTAGGTGGTCTAAAGTGCTTCTAAACCATATTTTGACAGTAGCTCAGATTAATTTGTCACCCGTATGAAAGAACACAAGAGAACTGTTTATGTATGACCGCTTGCACGGAAATTGTGCACTTCTTGCGACCTCAGTTCTTTTCAGTTCATGCGAATTCTGAATGCCCAATTTATCGCGTAAGATGATCGCTCCACAGTACTTTCCGTGTAAAAACATGCCATGTCTCATTGAATTGTCTTTCGGATTTTAGTTTCTGATGACTGTGACCTTTTGGGTACTGCATGTAAGCATGTCGCCGTTTTCCATATGCCTGCATTCTTTTTGCTCCTATAACATGGTCTGCTTCTTCCTCGCCTAACAGCCAATCAACGGTGGTGTCATTAATTGAAGCGTTAGCTGGCACTGCTGTCTTCTCTATTGCAGCTCTCGAGAAAGAGGTAAAAAAACTGGTTGCTGAAAATCAGGAACTCCTCGAGATGAAGCAAGTTTGTCGTTTTGTGCCGATTTTAAAGCCCCAAGTAACATTAACACTATAAAACTCGCGTCAATTTTCCTACTAAGCCTCCGCGTTCTTGTTGAAATTGCCGTAGCAAACAATTGGAACGCATTTAAATGCATTTCTTCCTTAACCAATAAGATTACTGCCCCTGTGTCGTTAAGCGAAATCAAAGTGTGCTATATTTGTTCGTCTTCCCACCTACCTAAGCCCAAGAATTTGTAGTTGCCTTAATCGCACATCAATTTATTTGGCAGTGCTCCTAGGTGTCTTAAAAATGAACTTAAATAGCGGTGATATGTTTGTCCCGATTTCCTGATGACAAACCGGTAAATCGTTTGAAATAGATTGACGATGCCGCAGTTACCTAGTCCTGAGTTCCAGCGGCACTGACGGTTAGCGTTAATCTATGCAGTAGCGACTTTTCTCATTAACGATAGCTTCACTGGCTGGCGACAAAGCCCTCATTTGTCTGACGTCGATAGCACACGTAAAGCCCTTATCACCGTTGCGGCCGTGGCTTCGTCGTTAGCTTTATGATCTACCAGTGGACTTGCTGTTTTATTTATGGTGTAGTATTGGGTTTTGAATTTATGCCACTGCCAACTTTAAACAGAATTGCTTAAGTCCGTTTTGGGCTTTTAAAAGACTTAACCTTGATTTAAAGAAGTCTGACCCGCGTTTTAGTGCAGCAGTGTTGTGCTTGTTCGATAATGCCTCAGTCACTGCGGTGTTTGAGTTCGAATCCACAACTCACCACCATCCCTCAAAACTTTGGCTGCGCCACAATTTGAATTCGTGCGAAGTAATTGTTTCTGCGAAACCCCTGTATTCTGATGCAAATCCCCAAACGAATAGTTGAAACCCCTTGTTTGGCATGTCGAAAGCTTCCCAGAATAAGAGAAGACGATAGTTCGTGTGGAAAGTTTTAGTGTACAAGATGGGACCAAAGCGGAAGTCGTGTGGATGCTCAGATGTGCCCACTTATATATCTCTGGGCAACCTGATATCGATGAGTTGAGTAATTCACACTGAGTGACGATTTGTTGGTGTGAACGACAGTGTGGCCTGACAGCAGGGTTGTAATCGAATGAACAGAGCTGAGTGAATAGACGTCACAATTCCCTGCGTTAATTTACCCGTTTTGGGGAATGCTCACATCCCCAGCACATGGTGATTATCTCTCAGCCTGTTCTATTCATAATGCCTCTTCGTTCTTTGGTGGGAATGTGACCAATGTAATAATCGTGTATGGAATTTATAGTTCATAGGGTTCTGACGCCTAAGGGAGTAAAGAAATTGCTGTCGATAGATTGGCTTATCTGAGTTGCTGCTGTCAACGGGTCCAGACGTGGCCGCCGATCAATGCGATCGGTAGATGTATTCCTAGTTTGTTGTTATGTTGGTCTCAGTTGACTCGGAATTGCATTCTCAGGCTGTCCGAGGGCTGTCTCTGGTTCTATTGAATGCCCGGTTACATTTATCGTGTTTTCTTGTCTATTCTTTGATTCCACCGAAGCCTCATTATTCACACTCGTCGCTGAGTGCTGTTAGATATCGTCCTACACACTCATTTGATCAAACAGGTTGATTTATTCGGTTACCTTTTTTCAATTTCGTTATAGAAACGCCCTCAATGTGTTAAAGGACGACCTCCTCTCTCGCATTGACGATCTTTGCGGGTAAGCGTTGAGCCGTCTTGAAGTTGCCTTAATTCCCAATTTAGTCAACCCTGTGGGCGTCCACGGAACTTTGTTTGACTCATTTCGGTTTGGCCATACCCTCCTTTACAACAGTCTTTAACACGATTGGTATGTTGGTGGCCATCTAAGTGTTTAACTTGGGACGAAATTCACACGAGTTGAATTTGTTCCACTTTAAAGTCGCCGTGACTTCTGTTAGGTTGAACTAATGCCGTCGAAATGAAATGCATGATATTCGCGAACAGCCAATGTGCCAAAAATAAACACTAAGATCCTTTTCCCTAAGTGCTGGTCTTCTCTAAATGGTCATATTGTGGATATCACCTGGTTTACTGAAACCCAGGTTTTTTATCTTGTTGATAAACACGCGGAGGTGTATTTCGCCAAGACGTAGTAGTCTGTCATGGAGCACCGCTCATTGAGTCCTTGAAACACATAGCGCCGATCAGCGAGTACGAAGCACCGATATAATAAGAGGTTCGAAATAAACCAGTGCTAACAATAGGTGCCAGTACATGGCAACGGAGGAAAAGCATTCAACACCTTAAACATACATCGCAGCAAAATTTATCGTATGTATCGATTAATGTCCACTGGGGGTACAAGATCAATTCGGGGAGGTTTGCGGTTTTTTGCAGAATATGTGAGTAAGTGCTGCTTGTTTCCGAATTTCAAAGTCCAACTTCACATTTTTGACGGTGCTAGAAAGACAGGAATTAACTCGTTGGAAGCAGTACGTGAAAATGGACATGGCCACGAATTCCTTAGCAGAATTTTTCAAAAAATTTTTGGCAAACAGCATTCCACAGTTGCTTATCTTCGCGTGTATCTTTTACCACGAGCATTTCCTGGCAAGATTACCTTAAAATGTCTTAATTCGTTTTTTTTTAAATACATATCTTGTACTCTGAATTGTGTTGCCCTGTACATTGGGTCTCCTCGATTTTTAGAGAGAATGCTATCGTGAAGAAAGATCTCGACATTTGTCGTGACGAGCTGTTTGCCGAGCGTAAACGCGCAAAGCAGCGAGAGCGGTTACTCATGCAGCGAAACCAACGCCTCACCAGTCAGTTGCACTTAAATGAAAGGTTAATTCAAAGCAAACGCGCTAGAGTGCCCATGAGGTCATTCTCACTGAATCGACCGGGTCAAGAGGCCTCCGTCAGTAAGCTACACCGACGCGTCCACAGCTGCCCTGCCGCACTGCCGGCGTTGTTCGTCGACTGGACACCTGCGGCTGATTCCCAATTAAGTGCAACACCGAAGGAGGTACCTGGCTCTGGAGTGCGTCTCGCATCTTGTTTAAACTATCCAATTTGTTGTTAATTTCGAGGGTACGACACCTGAATTTATTGCCTACGAATTGGCCCACGGATTAAGAACACTTCATGTGTTTTACACTAGCTACGAGTAAACCACCACTGATTTTGGAAGTCCTCATTCAATTTTAATCAAGTCAAGTTGTTGTTGTGGTATTTTGGGGTCATATGTGGCCCGAAATGCCAGTAATAATGTGTGACGCGTATTCGCCTAACCGGGTTCTTCCTTCTATTTTTGACATCTTTCGTCAAACTTTTAGGATCAACTGGGAAGTTTGGGAGGCGCTGCTGACAACAGTGGCAAACAAAATTTCAGCAAACAAGAGATTTCGCGCGTCATATTAGAGCGCAATTACTATAAAGAGCGATTTATTGAAGCATATGACCGACTGCGTGCACTGGAAATTGATAGAAGCCAAGTACCCATTAGGCGACCACGTAAGCGTGAAATGGTGTCTGCTTTCTTCACTGGAATTTTCGAGAAGGTGCAGTCCTTTGCCAACGACGTAGCTCAAGGCTTGGACGAACTTGTCACGCCCTTGGAGGAGAGGCATCCGCCACCAACACAACATCAAATCCGAACTTCCACCGCATTGTGGAATCTGTAAGATTCCCAGGCTCTTAATTGTGATCATTTTTACTATTAATATCGATTTTCCCAATGGCTGTAGACTTCCGAACCAAAGGACGCCAGATTATTTTCAAGTCGTTCCTATCTGGTAAACCCTGTGTTTTGTCCAAATTTCAGTTATTAGAATTTGGGTGGCTTCTTGCCGAAGCAATCAAAATGATTTAATGGGTTCACCAACCGCATTCCCATCAGTACGCAGAATAAGACACTACACTCCAATCCACAATCAACCTATTAACACTCGGCGGGTTCATAGTATTAAGAGGTACGAACCTACTGCGCATTTTCAATCCTAATTTCCTTTAGCTAGCCATAGGTCTACTTAGTATACGATGTCTATGGACGCTCAATTGTGTTTTAAGGTGTCTTGAAATTCCTTTTGCTTACTCTTCGTGTGCATTCAAGCTCCACAGTATGGTAGACGAGCCAGGCAAAATAACAGAACTATGTCCCCGAGTTTAATGTCTAAAGTGGCGTATCAGTGGCTCGGCGTGGGCGGTGTTGGCCATTGGTACCTTCAAGATGGAGTTTATTCATTTAGCTTGCTACCAATTCTGTCTCTTCAGGCTCGGAAATTTCGTCGGACAGGCAGTAACGTATACAGCCGATGTGGTCATCGGGACAGGGAACGACCTCCCACTAGACGTTTCGAGGCGGATGATAGCCGCAAACGTTGACTCCAAGCTGCCCATGTCTTTTCAACATCATTCTGAGAACCGCCCGGTGTAGTAACGCCGCACTAACCAATTTACCCCCCGTCCAAACTCATGAGATTGATGAAACATGACTTCTCATGAAACTTTGAGGATGTTACGAAGATTACGAGGACTATGAGAACATTATCACGTACATATGAGCCGTGCTATTTTTGACTTCAATTTTTTGATTCGTGTTATGTACGGGGCATAATCGTAAATGCGTATTGCGTGAAGGTGATTTGGGACCAAAACATACGAGTCTTCCATGTACCTTACCACATGTTACACAAATCAAGTTCGGCCAACCTTAAGGTAAACAAGTAATTATTCCAAAACGTGCAATGCCAAAGCGAATCAATTTGTAGTAGCTTGATCTTAGCACTACCTTACAACCCTCTAATTAACAGCCCAAGACAACTCGAGTAGAGTGGAGAAGAGGCGAGAGCGGACACGACTGGTTTATTAGAGTCGAACCAGCCAAGTGACTTTGTCTGCGTATGAGTACGCGTGCGTAACAGACGAATGCTGACAAAAATC